AATCGATAATTTAATTCAAATTTATTTAATTGAATTAATTATTGCTTATGAATAAGCAATTAAGACTTAAAATTAATTATCCTGCCCTTTTTCTGCTTCTATAGTCATCTTTATGAGCGATATTTCCAGTAAATTTTGAGCTACTTTCGGAACTGGATCTAGAACCTGCCTTTCTTGTGGCTGCCTCAAACATATTTTTATAGCATTCAAAACGGTTTTCCCAATTTGAATTAATTGTGACATAGTGACTTACCATCACTTTTCCGCTGTCTGAAGTGATCTCTATTCTCTTTCAAAATTGTTTCTTGGGCTTCTCCGCGGGCAAGTTGTCCCAGTTTTCTCTTGGTTCCATAATTGTTCTGTTTGATTTGTATTATATACTTTATTAATGGATTTATATTATACTTTTATACTTTTATCATAAAGTGATACGTATAATAATTTTTTGCTTACTTAAGGCTACTTTGATAATTCATCGAAATTATGATACTGTCATTCGTTTTATGTAGGGAATTTAAATTCGAATTCTATATAATTTTCGTAGAATATAAATACTATTTTAAAAGGAAACTAGGAAACTAAAAACATATCTAAACAGTAAAATACTATTTTAAAAGAAGACTAGACAAATAATTAGAACTTCCCGATATGTGTGAATAATAGACCTGATCAATAACAAACCAATACATTAATTTAAGAGTTATTTGTTAGTATGCCGAGTTGCTATTGGGCTTTATAATGTGAGAAACTATGCAGGTTATTAAATTTGGAAAAAAGATCCATAGTGACTGAAAAGTTAGTACGTGGCACACACACGATTAATATTTTTTTATAATTAAACCACTTGTCGTAAGTCTCTAATAGTTTGGTATATCCATTAATACTAGAAACTACGCAAATGCAAAATTTTATTAAAATCGTAAAATACCAAAAGACATATCGAAAATTGACATGAAAAAGACATTGCGCCTTGAGGCAAATTACTAGAACCGTACCGAAAACTTTAAAAATTAAAAAAAATTAAAAAAGCTTTAAAACTTATTGAAAACTTTGAAGCAATAAGATTTGCGAGATTTTTGAAATTTAAAAATAAAACTGTTTGAAAAAGCAGTTTTTTTTATATTTTGATTTTTTTTTAATATTTCGAAAAAATTGAACTTTTTTTCAAAGTAACTGAAAGGTTTTTACTCCGAATCTACAAAACGGCTAGACCTGATTTTGCCAAAAACTAATTAGCACGACCCCCTATCAATAGGAATCGATTGCTGTTTGATACAATCAAATCGGTTGATCCGAAAACGTCGACAAAAAATTGTATCAACATATAGATACACACACATTGATACATCATACATACACACAAATATATCTATTTTTTCTAAAGTATGCTAAAATGTTCAGAAACCTCTAAAACGCAAAGATATATGCAAATTTTCATTTTCGAGCTTTTGCGATAACTATAACTTACCCTGCTGGAAGTTAATTATGAGAGTATTAATATCTCATGTATACCACATTTACAAAATATACAAAAAAAAACTGATACTTTTTTATAAAAAAAGTAATTTAGATATATTAATTTTAAGTTTTTCTTGTAATCATAGAAATAAATGTTTTTCTATGAAGACATGAGACTGGTGATATCTTGATTTTCATTTGATTTGCTTCAATATAAATATAGAATTTTAAAATAATTTTTTTCATTCGCTAAATTGGCATCTACATGAAATGTTACAGCCAATACACAATAAGTATTATGCATATATATTTTTCAAAATTTTATCTTTTTTTTCATTATATTATCATTATATAACAATTGTTATATGATCATTGATCAATTTTAGATTTATATAGTGATTAAATTTATATGAGCAATATTTATAAAATATTAACAAATTGTTTATCAAAATCCTTGGTATATTTTTGCGACTTTAAAATGCAAACTTAACAATAAATTAGATTTGGTCGAGCTTATATTTTTACGAACAGGTGTAAGATAATTAGATGTGCCTACGAAGGGTGAAGCTTTTGACATTTAAATGCAACAGGTAAGCTTTGTTAGTTCAAAAAGAATTAAATGCCGGATTTAAAGTTAATGATCGGTGGTTTACTCGTAAAGTGTAATGTGGCGTTAAGGAAAAATGTAATGAACCTATTGTTATTCTATTCTTTTCATTTAAAAAATGAAAAGGCATTAAACAAAAGTTGGCTAAAGTTTTTTGTTCGCACAGACGACCGGTTCGTGTTATTGGCGATGTGGCGTCAGTCCCAATGCTAAGCTTTTAGTTTTTAGCCTGGGCTCCCGTCGGAGATGGCGCCTAGCTTCCCTGTCGCGTTGACGGTTATTTCGCAGGACACGTAGTCGCCGACCCGAACACGAGCCTCTTGTTTTGTTACTTTACAGATTATAACATTAAACAGTTCGCACGTACCATATATCCGAAATCTTTCAATGCTTTCTCGAATCGAGGCCATTTAGAACCTATTGACTACCGATCTTGGGTGACCGGACCACCCGAGATAAATTCATCATAGGATTACATTTCGTTTTGCGAAATCACGTACGACCTCGTGTCCGCCGACGGATGGATGGGTGGTTTCTTGTCGTAATATGATATATGCACGTGCGTGCGTCAAGAATTCCATTTTGGATATTTTGTTTATGCAGCATGTGCGGTTTGGCCATGTTCAGGCCACGAAAATGTATCGATAACGGAGTTAAATGAAACATTTGGTTATTTATTGATATATATTGCACGCATTGAATTGATTTCAGCTATGTAGTAGGGAAGACTGGGCACGGTTGCATAACTTTTTTTCTATCATCCCTCATGGTGGTTGTGACAGGCATAAACATAAGTTGAAAAACAATAGTTATAAACACCAAAATAGTTTATAACGACTTTTGTTGTCGTCAAGAACAGTAATATGTAACACAGCACAACATAGTCATATAAAATATAACAATATGTAACAAAAAATATTTTTTTAAACAAAGTTTTTTTTATTTAATTTTATTCTGCAATGTGTTTACCTTAAACAAAATTAACAAGAAATTTTTGTTAAATCTTCTTTTTTCTTGTATTGAATTTTTCTTTTCCTTTCTCTTTCATATTTTGTCTTACAATCATCTAACGTAAGTTAAATTTTTGTTCATCTATTTAATACTTACCCACAAACGATAAGAAATACATGTTGCAACTGTCCGTACCCACAAAATTTGTCACAACCGTACCCAACGCACACTTTTAAAAATAAATCATCGTTATGGCTGATTTAATTTATTTACGTAAAAACTAATTGCTAGCAATTAACTACTATTGTTCATTTTACAGCAAAATAACAAACAAACTGATCTATCTGTACACAAGTAACGGTTATTATGAAAATCGAACACTTATTTTTGACTCTTCAATAGAAAAGCAATATGTTATCGTATGGCGCTGACTTGGTGCAATAATGTAAACTTGTTTGCACAAACATACTTCATCTTTTTTTTAGACTTTCTACCGTACTCTGGAACAACCGTACCCAGTATCCTCTATAATCGTAAATCGGTAGGATAATGATAATTTCAATTTCTAAAAATGTGGTGGTTATTTTAATTTGGCTACGCTTAATGATAATAATACACACACATATCCATATTTATACGCCCACATATAAGACATTTTTTTTCTATACTTCTACTATGGTATCAACTCTTTCAATTAGTTATTTTGCACAAAACAATATTGCTTATTAAATTATTTTAAATTGATTTAGCATAGTGCCACGGAATGAAAGTATCGACTTTAGGATTATAACCTTTTACAAATAATAGTTATTAATAAACAAAATATAACCTTTTACAAAAAATAATTAATTCTACCTTCGACTTACACTTCTTACTTTTATTAAATATATCAATCAGCATAACAATTGGAGTTTATTATTTATCTTGCAATATTATTGTTTACTTAAAGCAGTTATTTTTTAATAGAATAAAATAATTTAAAATATGAATGTTCAACGGAAAAACTTTAATATTTCATTTTTACTTTCTAAATAATTTCAGTTATTCTATCATGTGAACACTTACTACGAAAACTAATATTTTTTATAAGTGTCCTCTCATAACGTTTGTGAATATATTGCAATATACCAATTTAATTATTCAGATAAAAAACTGTTGAGTGTATGAGGCACGGAAATTATGTTAAGTTCAAATTCAAAAAAGATATATTGAAATACTCTTATTTTATGCGTAACGGCCAAATATAACTATGCACTTGTCCTGACTTTTGAAAAGGGAATTATGAAAAAACACACTTCAAAATGCATTAAAGTTTTCATAAACATCAACATATTTAAGAACGTACATATTTAAAATTGCAATTAACTGACATCAGATGCAGTAGCGTACACGGATAAATAGAAAATTGTCAGCAGTAATAAAAAGATTTTCTTGTGAATATTATAGAAATTTATATGAATGGTCTCAACAGTTAAAAGTTGCAAATATTTAGTCATTTATATGGATTTGTAGTAGTTAAATGTATTATACCATATAAAGAGTCCGTCAGATAACTTTTTTTTTTTGAAAATGCTATATATAAACTACTGAATATTTTCTCAATTTAAATCTATTCTATTTGAAAGTGCAATCCTTCTGGTTAATAATCAAAAATAATTTCATCGAAATGGCTGTCTAACTTTTTAATGGCTGTCAAAAATTCTAAATTGCTACCAATAAAAAAAAAGTTATATGGCGGACCCTTTACTATATATAGTATATTTTTTATTCATTAATTTTTTTACCACTAATAATATCGAAACATAATGGAGCTCATATTATTGATACCTTTATTATGTATTATATTGATTATAGTATCAAATGTTTAGTTTGTAACTGAATTAATATTATTAGCAATTTAAGTTGTTTATCTTATTTATATCAGTAAAATGAAATGATTTTATGCTGTATAAAATATTAATTATTATAAATATTTGTCTTCCAGGAAAGATCAGTGCTGCCGCCACTGATCTAAAGTTGATTTTCCTATTGGCCACTTGTGGTCGTCGAGCTTACACACCAAGTGCAGTCACTGGATTATTGCTACAAAAAAGGATAATGTAAGTAAATTTTTTAATGTTTTAAGGAGATTACCAATACTTTATTTTTTCAAGAGTCAGCCAGACCTTGGTACTTACAGCCAATATCTTTTAATTCTTTTAAACCTGACTTGACAAAATGTGATTTTAAAAATCATTCTGCGTGTGGCATATCGTCCACTTGAATCGTGCCGTCTCGTCTGTTTTGCGCGAACGTGAAAGCAATTGAAAACTTAAGTTTAGATAAAGATCTTTTACAATGTTTACTTGTCTTCACTGGAAACAGCTTGTTACGAGTTGAGGGTTAGACGGATAGCTGACGAAAATATTCATTTTTGGCCGAAACTAGAAATATATTAACTATTTTGTTTAACGAAATTCATTCTTGTTCAGTGATAATTTGAATTATTATTTGTGGTAGCATCGGTCAATTAGTAGGATAAAACTGCTTTACTCTTATAATTTATAAATTATATTGCTTGCATTAACTTTCTGTTCTTATTCCTAAATTCGGGCTCAATTTTAAGTAAATGGTTAGGACGACAGAATTTGAACCAGAGATCCCGGATTCGATCCCGCTTTGAGCAGACTGTTGTCAAGCTGTAGTGACGCCAGTTTTCCTTGGAAATATAGATAGCAATATGTTTTTTTTTTCTGATTTTCATATGCCTCTAATATTTTACGCCGGTCAGTTTGAGCATAAAATCTACCATTATACCAAGTTTCATCAAATTCCTAAAGGAGTAAAGCGCAGGTTTCTTTTGTAAATGATAATAGTACTTGCTGCATCAATAAAAAACTACTTACAATTACAGAAATTGTTATAATAATATTTATCGCATATAGATAGGACAACTGTTTAGTTTGCTATTTATAAAAAACTGACCTAGTAAAACCCATAATACAAAAAATAACATAATTTCAGCATTAGATATGATTTTATATGATATTTACTTTAATCATATTATTAATAAGTTATATTGCTTGCATTAATTTTGTGTTCTATTCACAAATTCTAAATATATTTGAAGCTGATTTTATTTGATATCATTTACAAGCAAGGTTTCTGCATTATTTATTATTACTTAGAACATATTACAAAGAATAATTAAAATATATTTTACTAATTTAAAATTATTGTCCATATATTTCACTCTTTACTAAAATATTTCTGAATATTTACATTTACAAATTAATAGAAATAGTAGGCATAGCATATAATAAATATTTATGAAACTTGTTCCACTTAATAGATAACATTTCTACCATTAACTATAACTATTAAATTTATTGTGTTTTTTATGTTTTTTTTCGTACTTCTTCATTTTGAATGATAAGAATGTTTCAGTTTTGATTGAAAAAAGTTTTATAATAACAAAAAAAAGTTAGCCACTACTGATAAAAATTAGCAAAAGTTTTACTGGATCAATTTAAGAGAATATATCACTACTCAAATCAAAATTTTATGAATTTACCACGAGAACTAGTGTAATAACTTAACAAGAAACCCAAAATATAAAATATATGATTATTATAAATTGAAAGTGCGAAAATAAATTCGTTGAAGTGGTTGAAGCAGTCCTTTATTAACATGAGTATCAATTTACTGGGTCATTAATAGGCGTTGAATTGACAATCATTGTCATGTAATTAATACAACGTATGTGTAAATAATTAGCAAAAATTATTTACAATGGTCATTGTATATAAAATAGTCCTTATAACTAATAAAACTTAAAGTTTAAGATGAGAATTTAATGAATTACCATAAAATATGTTACAACTTACTAGAACGTTCCCTACTAGCAGTAGGATTGATGCAAGTTTGCTGTCACTTGGAGTGCATAGTAATAAGAACTGATGGATAGACTTTGTAGTCCCCAGCTCTCAGTTTAATGTTGATAGTTGCTAGTCATGTTATCGGTTAAGTTCAAGTAATGTTTATCCTTTTCTGCGCCCAACTGTGTTTTAAAGTGTTTTGTCAGACATTAGTCGCTGCGTTTAGCAGACGCTGATATGAAAGTGTTTGACGCGACGACTGCCGATGTCAGCAGACAGATTTGTTTCTGTTGTCTCCGTGTCAATTACCGTATGATTTTCGGTTTTAAAGTGCATCAGTTGATTATGTGCGATTATGATACCAGAAAATTTGTCTTGTTTAGACTTTTTTAGATGTTTGCTAATGCATTAGGACTACTGATCTAGAAGGAAGATCGGGATATTTGGTTGCACACCTTTCATTCATGTCTACCTTTTAGACAACAGTCTCTGTTTCATATTGTTGTATTCATTTTGCTTCACACATACAAACAATTTTTTCTTTTGTTTTTTAATATAAATATTTATTAATTTTGATACATCAAGTCAAAGACCTCAAACCACTTTTCTTGATATTGTTGAAAACTAATCAATTTGATGTTAGCATATGTAAAATCTGTTTTTTTTAAGTTTGTTTTAAGTCTTTTTATCATTGACATATTGCAAAGCATTTATTTAAATACATAGTAAATCTAGCTGCCCAATTTGCGAAATTTTCTCTCCGAAGATACTTTCTCTTTGGGATTGTTGTTTTTCACGGCTAGATTTACTGTGTGTTTTGCAGCTTTATCACGTTGTCTAAAGCAATAAAGCTGTGAAGGAAACTTACTCATATATTAGTTTTTAGCATAATCACATCCACTGCAAATCGAATAGAAAAATTAACTGAATAGCAGCAGCAATCACGATTTCCTATTTGCTTTGCAAACGATTGCATCATCAGTTTTTCTGTAGTTTGCACTTGTTTTTAATGTCGTCAAATGTAACTTGATGGGGCCATTGAAAGAAAATCATAAATAATATTAATGTGTATCAAAATAATTTACAGAATGTATTTGTCCTGATGATTATTAATAAAAGGGAGAAAAGAAAATATATATATATTTATATATTATTCTTCATACTAATTTTAACTTTGTTTCTCAATTCTAACCTAAATAATTCCTGTATTTGTGATAAGAAAAAGGCTTTAATCAAATAGAACTATTTTTCCTGCCAATTCTGCTGTAAAATAGACCAATGACACTGCGTTTTTTATATAAAATTGTACTACAAACTGTCAAATGCATCAAAATGTCACTACTAGTATATTTCTCGAAATTGCAAATAAAAATATAAATCAGTTAAAAAAAAAGAAATCAATTCTGATGAAATACTAGATCAATGTCATATACAGTCTTATTTTTGTAAAAAATGTGCCCAATATTTTGCGTTGGTTGAATGTTGAATCTATTATTTTGTAAAATTCATTTAAAATTGAAAATAAGACATTGGATCTCTTTGCCCCTTGGCAGTTCCAATTTAACCTGTCTATGGGGAAAAATGAGATAGATATTTTTCTTAGAAAAATAGTAAAAATGCGTTTCTATAGTTGGGAATTAACTGGAAATTTTACTGACCATAGTTCGATAGTTGTTTGTTTGATACGTGCAATATGTTGTGATGTAGTTCATTTAGTTTAGACAGCATAATTACTGAAAGTCGAATTGAACCTTACCTACCCTTCTTAACAGCTGTGACAACCAACTACTCTATGAAAAAAAAAGATTAAATATTAAAGAAAATATATTCTGAATAAGTATGTCCAATTATTTAGCAGTTCAAAACAAGAAAATTGTCCATGGAAGTTTCAGCCAGTCCAGGCAAAATCGACTTGTTCTGGCAAAATCGTGCATTATCTGGGATGTTATCAATATCCATTCGCTATTCTATGCTGTTTTATAATAACGAATTAGCCTGCACGTTTATTCTTCTTGATGAGCAAAAACAACAAAAAAGCAGATAACAAATGGTCGAAGAAGCTTTTCGATCCATCGATGTGCAATCCACGATTCGCAGACGAGTTAATGATTTGATGGCGTCATAACATTAACTTTAAGATCGGTTGATTGTGATTTTTGCAAATTCACTCCATGTTTACTTGAAAATAGTAAAAGGTTTTAAAACCTTCTTTGTGATTTGCCTTATCGAAGGCACAAACATCAAGTTTTATAAATGACTCCAGTAACTAGATACTGTTGTAAATAGTTTTAATGCAAGTTTTGTTACCGACTATTTATCTGACATCTTTTACGATAAGTGTGTATCAATTTTCCAGTTAATTTCATAGCTGTGTACGGTATCGGTTTTAGTTGTCAGAGATCTCTTACTTAAAGATCGTTAGTCTTTCTAAAAAAATCTAGCTTTTAGTTTAGCCTTTTTGCCCAACTGAGGCTTTAATCTGGCAAAGGGGTAAACAATAAAAATTAGTAAATAACAAAGTAAATTAAGTTAAATAAAGCAATTTTACAAAACACGAATTAAATTAATAGTTATCCCAATTCTGCCAGATTAAGGTTATATACAATGTTATCTTTGTAAAAAATGTACGTAAAAAAAATATTGTTTGCATTGGTTCAATAATGTAGCTACTATTACGTCAAATCCATTCAAAATTAAAAATAAAACATTAGATCTGTTTGCCCCGGCTACTATCCCAAGGGGTAGAAAAGAACAGTTGACAAATTTTAGAAAAGTAGTAAAAAATCACATTTCTTTAATTGGGAATTCAATGGAAATTTTACTGAACATATTTATCATAAAGATAGAATTAAGTTATTAATTATTTTATTTATGGAATATTGAACATATAGAATGTATTGTAAACTATATAAAAGATAGACTCGCATGCAGCATCTGTAAATATATCCTTCGATCATTTACTAAAGTAATCTATTCAAAATCTAAAGAAGTAATTAAAAAAGATAGCGAAATGAGATTGACCCATATCTGAGTGACAAATAAATTTACTCTGAAGTCACTTTGTCAGAGCTTAACCCTTCATGCTCATAAATGCATATCTAATCTAAAATCATCATCATAATCGCATTTTGGCTTCAGACTGATAACTTGTCAAATCTTTATTCAAAACCCCATTACGATCAGATAGTGACTAAAGATCTTCCAAAAAATCATCGACTATAATTTGAAGTCATCCTGGCATA